TTGCCAAGAGGAGAAGGACACCACATCTCCTTCCCCAGGCCATGGTTCCATCTCCCATCCTCTGCTGCTCTGCAGGTCTCTAGGAAAGCCCTCCTTGCTGTGGCAGAGATCCTGGAGTGGGAAGAACTCAAGAACCTGGTCCAGACAGACCAGACGTGGAGGATCACAGAGTGCTTGGTGAGGACAACCCCCAAGCCTCAGGGCTCATAGCCTGGAGCTGCGGCGTCCTTCCCTGCTCTCCAGCGCAGAGGCCCTAAGGGCTCTTCTCCAGGCTGCTCTCCCTTCCCTGTCCCCCAGGGTGCTGAAGGAGACCCCAGCCCACCTGGACCCTGGCAGATGGGGTCTCAGGACCCGCAGACCTCCCTCTGCCTGCGGCGCTCTCTGTTCCTCAGACCCACAGGGCTCTGGCTGGAGCCTGAGCCTCTCCGTGCCAACTGGGTGCCCCTGGAGTCTCTCCAGCTGCCGAAGGACAGGAGAAGGGTTGAAGAGTACCTGCATCAGAGCATGCCGTACCTGAAGGACGCTCAGGCCACCTTGCGAGAGGCAGTGGTCAGGTTCATCGGTGAGCCACAGCCCCCGGGGTCCCTCTTCTAGCAGCCTGGTCCCCGTCCCCGCTGCTGCACTGGGGAGCAGGGGCTCTGACGAAGCTCTGTGCCTAGGGCTTGCCACGCGGCCCCTGAGGGACCACAACAAGGAGAAACTGGCCAAGATCTGTAGCGGTGAGTAGGGAGCATGGTCTTGAGGGGATGACAGGGGGGTCTCTGCAGACACGGGGGTTCATCTCCACTCTGTTTCTTTTGCTTACAGCCCTTCAGACCTTGCAGAAAGACAGCGATCTTTCCATCCGTTGCCCAGCAACTCAGACCATCCTCATCCTGAGCTCTCCAAGCATGCAGCAACCATCAGGATGGACTCTGTGAGCACTGTGCTGCTGGTGCCACTAAGCCAGGCAGAGAACATGCCAGTGCTTCAACTTTGGGAAAGGGTTGAACCTTCACTGGTTGAACCTTCACTGGCTGAACCTTGGGTGGCTGAAGGGCAGAGATGGCCAGCAAAGGCACCGAGAGAATCATTCCCTCTTGGGTCCTAGGACTGATCCCAGGCTGACCAGCAGATTCCTGTACAGGGGGACAATATCACACCCCAACAGGGAAGGGAGCAGATCCCAGAATGCACTTCCTCAACACAGCCAGCCCGATTTCACTACTTTTCTCCCCAAATTGCAGCCTGTTTCCATTCTACTCTGTAGTACCGCGGCCACATCTGGCTCCAGGCAAGGTGGGAGCGAGACCATGCTCAGCCATGCCACAGCAGTTGGGAACTTCCTCCACTGAATTAAATGATGGGTTCGATTGCGACGAGGTTTTTGGGGAGGGCGATAAGGTCAAAAGGACCAGATACCCTCAGACACCGAGGTCTTCTACAGACCCACCCTTGGACATCTTGGTGCTCTATGCATCCCTCCAGATGCCATGTGGGAGCCTGAAGGACCAGAAGAGGATCCAGGCATTGGGGTGGTGGATTCGTAGAGGACCCCCGTGTTCGGGTGGGATGGGTAGAGGAGTTCCCATGGCTGGGGCTGCCCCCCACCCCCACAGGAGCTCTGCCCTCCAGCATTGCCTTTGGGAGGACCCTGGGACACACAGCCCCAACGCGCCCCCCACACACCCCGGCAACAACTCACATGCACCCCAACAGCCCATCCCAAAACATCAGGCGGACACACCCAGTGCAATGCAACACCCAAACTGCACCCCAGCTGCACCCATATGCCCCAACTGCACTCCAACCACACCCCTGTGCCCCAACTACACCCCAACAGCATCCCAAGAACACCCTGACACGAACGAATACCCCCAAACCTGCACAACCGTGCACCACCACACTGCCCCGGCCCCAGCACCCCCAAACCCACCCTCCCCCCCTGTGCTGGGGGGTGCCACCAGCATCAGGGCCCTCATTAGGGTCTCTCGTTACAGCGCCTCGTTAAGGCCCCAGGAACTGCAAAACCAGTGGTTTATTTCACAGCTTCAGCCGCCCGCAAGAGCACCCAGAAGGGGGACTTCACCCCCAAAATGCCCCAAAACCAGGGCCTGGTCCCACCCTGTCCCAAGGCCCAGAATTCTCCCAAAATGCCCCAAAATTAGAGCTTGGTAGGCCCCACCCCCAAAAAGGGCCCAAAATTCCCCCAGAATGTCCTAAAATCAGAGCCTGGTCCCAGTCCCCCACACCCAGGGATCCCCCAACCCTCTTCAGACACCAAACCCTACTGAAATGCCCCAAAATGTTCTCCTGGGGTGATGGGGGGGGTCTTGCTGTGTCCCAGGGAGGGGAATCCTGGATCTGCCCCAGACCCCCCCAAACCCCTTATGGGGAAATGGGGTCTCCCCATACCCTCCTGCCAAAGCCCCTATGGAAGATTTGTGGTCCCTCTATCCTGGGGGGATTCCTCGCCCCAGAGCCCCAGTGGGTGCCCCCAAATGGTGGGTTTGGGGTGCAAGGAGAGCTCAGGGACCTCTTGGTGGCAGGGACA